GTCACAACTGAGAACACTAAATATAAACATTTCAATGAAGAATAGACAGTTTAGGAGAAAGAAAGGAGTAAAGGATAACATTCAATGTGTTGCACCTAGGAGACTGAAAACAAGGGAGTCTAGAAATATAGTATTTGACAGGAGGTAAACACTTTCCATTTTATTTCTGTTGTGTCTGAGGCTATGAAAGCATATCCATTTAGAAATCAAGCTGGTCATCGGAGCTACAACCAGGCCTTTGCGAGACAGGAGAGCAATTAATTAAATATGTATGAACCTTTTCTTATTTTACAGATAAGGGGATTGAAGGATCTGGGAAGCTAGTAAACTTGCCCAGGAGTCATATACATCTAATAAATATTGGGGTTTGTGTTGCTGTTAAGGGTCCTTAACTTGGCTTTGATTCATAGTGACCTTTTGCAGAACAGAGTCAAACAGTACCTGATTCCCCACCATCTTCATAACTTGAGTCTACTGACGCATCTCCTGGGTCAACCCATCTCATCTAGTCTTCCTCTTGTCTTACTGGCCCTCTAACTTTACCAAGCACGATGTCCTTTTCCAAGTCTCTCCTGATGACAGGTCTAAAGTATGTGAGGCCATAGTACGTCTCACCATGCTTGCTTCTAAGGAGAATTCCTGGGAAACGGAAGAAGTTTCTTACAATTTACAGAGAAAATCTGGTGCATGTTTATTTAAATTATTACACCATCAGTTACATACAGAATCTATTCTGTTGTTAATTGAATTTTCTATCATTGTCTCCTAGGCTTTTGTTCTCTATGCTTAAATTCCTTCCACCCATGATCCTCTTTATAATATACTATTGGCTTGGAGGGGGTGTGGTAGTTACATAACTTCATGTCAACTTGATAAATAGGTGTAGGGGGTTGGAATCTAGCCTCTCAATCAGGTCAAAGCCTGATGATGCCTCCTGGTGGGCATGGCCTCTTCATGAGGATTCCAGGTACTCCTCCCTTTCTCTGTGAAGGTGGGCCACACTCTCTGTTTCACCTTCCTGTTGAGGAGCCACATTCAGAGAGCTAGAGGAGCCATGTGGAGATCCGCACCAGCACTGAGATGCTTCCACCATCATTGGATCCACAGGACTTTGCCCCCACCGGCCTGTGATCTTCCTGCATTCGGCATTATTGCATGTGCTGCTTGAGTTTGAAGAGGAATTAATGGACTAGAATCAGACAGATCGGCTAATATTGGACTTATGGACATGATCAGGACTGGGCTGGGATGTTGCCTCAATATGTAATTGCTCTTTGATGTAAAGCTCTCTAGGGAACCCGGCCTAACACAATGGGTTATGTTGGAGAGAGATCGAAAGTTTATCACTCATCTATAATAATAACCGTTTTTTCCATTATGGAAATTGTTCTTTTGTTCTACAGTGAAAAGAGGTTTGACTCTCATATTTCCTCATTTGAGATAGAAGTTTTTAAAGTATTGCTGAAGTTTTCTTTAAGCACTAATACTATGAATTTGAAGCCAATAGTAGGAGGCTGGTTCTCCACATACAATGAAATCCTTACCAACTTCAATTTTTTCTTTGTTTATCAAGATTTTGATGATTGATTCATTTGTGAGGATTTTTGTTTTCTTTACATTGAGTTGGAATGCTGAAGGCTGCAGTCTTTGATCTTCATCAATAAACTCAAGTAAAATTAAAAAAGCCAACAGTAAAGATGCTCACATTTACTGGAGAATATTATAATGTTAACCAAGGAGCCCTGGCATTGTGGATTAGGCATTGGGCTGCTGATCACATGGTTGGTGGTTCAAACTCACCAGCAGCTTTACATGAGGAAGATGAGACTGTCTGCTGCCATACGTGTTTACAATCTTGGAAACCCAATATAGAGTCACTATTTTGACCTGGGTGTATAGGACATTTCCACCAACAGCTACATGGGAGAATAATGAGACAGTCTGCTTCCATAGAGATTTACAGGCTTGGAAACTCAAAGGGGCAGTTTTCTGGTCCATAGAGTCACTGCGAGTCAGATTGACTCCATAGCCTTGAGATTCTTTATGGGGCATTGAAAAAAACTCATGTGAGACATAAAAATAGATTGCGTCCCCAAATCGCTATAATAATAGAAATGAGTGTTGTTGTTGTTAGGTGCCATGGATTGGTTCCCACCCATACTGGTTGTGTGGATCATAACAAATTATGAATAGTATTGAGAAGAACAGGAATTCCCAAATGCTTTTGTTCTCATTTAGAACTTGTACATGGATCAAAGGCAGAACAAGGGTGAGCTGCATGGTTTAAAATCAAGAAAGGTGTGTGTCAGGGTTGTATGCTCTATAACCATACTTGTTCATCTGTATGCTGAACAAATTATCTGAGAAGATTATATGGAGAAGAATGTGGCATCTGCCTTAGAGGAATTTATGAACCTGCAATATGCAGATGACACACGCTTGCTGAAAGTAATCACTTAAAGCACTTGCTGATGAAGATCAAGGATTGCAGCCCTCAGTATGGATTGCAACTCAATGTAAAGAAGACCAAAATCCTAACACCTGGACCAACAAGTAACACCATGATAAATTGAGAAAACATTGAAGTCCAGAATTTTGTCTTGCTTGGATCCACAATCAATGTTCCTGGAAGAAGCAGTCAAGAGATAAAAAGACATATTGAATTAGGTAAACCTGCTGCACAAGACCTACTTAGGGTATTGAAGAACAAGGATGCTACTTTGAGGATGAAGGTGCACCTGACCCAAACCATGATATTCTCCATTGCATCATATGCATGTGAATGTTGGGCATTGAATAAGAAAGACCGTAGAAGAATCAATGCATTTGAATTGTGGTGCCAGACGAAAATATTGAAAGTACCATGGACTGCTAAAAGGATAAACAAATCTGTCCTGGAAGCAGTATGGCCAGAATGCACCTCGAAGCAAGGATGACAACATTTTGTCTTACGTACTTTGGGCATGTTTTCAGGTGAGACAAGTCCCTGGAGAAGGACATCATGTTTGGTAAAGTAGAGGGGCAGAGAACACGAGGAAGGTCCTCAAGGAGATAGACTGACAATAGGCTCCAACAAAGGAACAATTGTGAGAATGCTGCAGGTGCAGGCACTGTTTTGTTCTATTGTGCACACGGTCGCTATAGTTCAGAACAGACTGGATGACACCTAACAAGGATGCCTAGAATATAGATATTCGAGTTCTATTTCATCCTTGACTACTTCCAACTTTCTTATATTCATACTTAAGACATTTCAAGTTGTGATTATTAAGTGATGCTTGGAGATGTTTCTAATCTTGCATTGTGCCCAATCAACACATGAAGATCCCAAAGCCTTCGTTGCCTCTGGCTTTACACCATTCACATTACCATGGTTGACTCTACTTTGAAAGGCAGATCCTCCTCAGTCATGTTTCAAGTGCCTTGTGATGCAAGAGGCCCATCTGACAACGTTCTGCTTCCATTCTTAGGCCTTCAGTATCTGATAATAGTTTGATTCTATGCATTATGTTTTCATTGGCTACTTCCTTCCAAGTGTACAACCAATTCCTTCTTTGTAGTCTGTTCTTAGTCTGGAATCCCCACTGAATCTTGTTCACATTGGGTAACCCTCCTTGCATTTTAAATATCAGTGACATAGCTTCCTGTATGACAGCATTACACAAATCATGATTGTATGATAAACAAACAAACAAGTGGTGGTAGAAATTACTAGGTTCAACTGTGTCAAAGGTAGAATTATTTTGCTGATTTAGAGATGGCTTTATAGTCCAGGGTTGTATTTCTTTCATTAAGAGAATCACTGGTGGAGCATACACATCAATTTTCATTAGTTTCATTTTATCCTTGATACATACATGTCACAGAGGGCTCCCATGTTTTTTTTACTGTGTTTCCTTTTAATTGAGCATGTCAAGATTTTCAACATTTTATTTTTAAGTACAAAAATATCACCTTAGCATTGTTTTTGAATTAAGATGTTCAATCAAGAGTTTACTATTAGTCTATAAGTTTTCAGAGGAACAATAAAAGCACCGTTTTATGTCCTAGGGCTTTAAAATCAATGAAAAGAATCATTTAGAAATACAGATGTTTTTACAGGATTGATCACTTACTGCTTGTCCATAATTTCTATATGACACAGATCGAAACTTAGACAATTCAATTATTGTTAAAATTACTGCAACTATTGAAACAATAAAGGAGACAATGTTCAGGACCAAAGACCATAAAACCTAAAGAGAAGAGACAAGATTAGCTTATTACATTCAGAAGCCATGTGGTTAAGCAGTTCACATTGATGAAAAAAATAGTTAACAAGTTAAAACTTTGATCTAGTTTCTACAGTTTTATAAGTATTGGTATGTTCGCCAAAAAATGATTTTTCTGGTTTACATGAAGCCAATTTATTCTGGAGGAAAAATTAAAATGCCAGCAGACTACTACACATTACTTTTCCATTTGGGATAAAAATATTACATTTTATAGCAATATGGGGGCAACTGGGGGAAAACATATAAGGTATTATTTGAACAAAAGGCTTCACTGTTAAAAACAAGCAAACCATCAAACAAACAAAACACCCTAATCATTTGTAGAAATAAAGCCTAATGGGATTCTATGAGTTTTAATCCTGGATTTCCATTATCTAGGAAAATCCATTAATTTTCTTGGACATGTTTTTATTTTTATTTTTTATGAGTCTTCCTGTGATTCTGAATTCTTCCAAACTGAATTTAAAAAATCATTTTATTGGGGGCCTTTACAGCTCTCATAACAATTTATACATATATCCATTGTGTCAAGCACATTTGTACATATGTTGCCATCATCATTTTCAAAACATTTTCTTTTTACTTGAGCCCTTGCTGTCAGCTCATTTCCCTTCCTCCCCCCTCCTTCCATCATGAACCCTTGACAATTTACAAATTATTATTTTTTCGTGCCTTACACTGACTGCTGTCTCCCTGCACCCACTTTTCTGTTGTTCATCCCCCTGGGAAGGCTTTATATATCAGTCTTTGTGATTGGTTCCCCCTTTTCCCCCCACCTTCATCTTATCCTCCTGGTATCACTATTCTTATTGTTGGTCCTGAGGGACTTATCTGTCCTGGACTCGTGTGTTTTGAGCTCTTATCTGTACCAGTGTACATGCTCTGATCTAGCCAGATTTGTAAGGTAGAATTGGGGTCATGATAGTGGAGGTGGGGTGGTGGTGGGGAGGAAGCATTAAAGAACTAGGAAAGTTGTATTTTTTTGGTGCTATACTTCACCCTAACTTGCTCATCTCATCCTTGTGACCCTTCTGTAAGGTATGCCCAATTGTCTACAGATGGGCTTTGGATCTCCACTCTGCACTCCCCCTCATTCACATTGATATGATTTTTGTTCTGGATCTTTGGTACCTGATCCCATCAACGTTTCAAATGAATTTCCATCAATTCCTGGAGCCCTTTTACTAAGGCCTTCAGTGCAACCTCAATCTCTTCCTTCAGTATCATTGGTTCTTGATCGTATGCTACCTCTTGAACTGGTTGAATGTCAACCAATTATTTCCGTACAGAAGCTCTGTATGTTCCTACCATCTTCTTTTGATGCTTCCTGAATTATTCAATATTCCCCCCACAGAATCCTTGTATGCCTGGAATAATTTCCAATTGGTCATGTGCATTTTTTTTTGTTGATATGTTGCTGACTTCTACTAGTTACAATTTTGTTGAAAAATTTTGCATCAATGCTTATGAGGGATAAGTTGGTGCATAATTTTTTTCAGTACTGTCTGGCCTGGTTTTAGGTTCAGGGTTATACTTGCTTTATTGAATGAGTGTGACAATGACTGAGTAGAAGGATTGCTGGGTATTTAAATTCCCAACTTTTGATTGTTTAATTATAAGATCACTTTATTGGGGGCTCTTACAGCTCTTAAAACAATCCATACATCAATTGTATGAAGAATATTTGTACATACATTGCCATCAATTATTTTCTAAACATTACTTTCTATTTGACCCCTTGGTATCAGCTCCTCTTTTTTCCTTCCCTACCACGTCCCACCCTTGTGACCTCTTGATAAATTATAAATTATTATTATTCTCATGTCTTAAACTGACCTCTGTCTCCCTTCCTGCATGGTTTGTTGTTCATCCCCCTAGGTGGGGTGGAGTGGGTGTGGTTATATGTGGATCATTGTGATCGGTTCCCCTTAGTCCCCTCCTCTCTCCACCTTCCCCTTCCCCTCCTGGTATTGCTACTCCATGTGCCCTGAGTGCTTATCTCTTATCTGTACCTGTGTACATGCTCCCGTCTATCCCGCAGTGAAAGGCAGGACTGGGGTTGTGATAGTGGGGGATGAGGAAGCCTCACAGAACAAGAGGACTATTATGTCATGATATATATAATGATATATATACACATATATTATTATATATGTATATGTGTGTGTGTGTTTGTGTGTGTGTGTATATATCATCAGTGCTATATTGCGCCCTGGTTGACTCATCCTTTCATTGTGACTCTTCTGTGAGGGGATGTCCCATTGTCTACAGATGGGTTTTAGGTCTCTGCTCCAACTCCCCTCATTCTCAACAATATGTTTTTGTTTGTTTGTTTGGGTCTGCTGATGTATATTCACAACTTTTTGAGGAAGTGCCCTATCACTTTCCACAGTGGTTGTACTGTTTTAGTCCCACAGCAGTGTATGGGGTTTCTAGTCTGTCCACACCCTCACCAGCATGTTTTGTTTTCTGTTTTCTAAATTTTGCAATTGGGGGGATGTGCTATCGCTTTGTTGCTTTGATTGTTGTTGTTGTTAGGTGCCATAAACCCATAGTGACCTGATGCACAATAAAATGAAACACTGTCCTGTGCCATCCTCACAATTTTGACTAATGTTTAATGATTTTGAGAATTTCTTCACGTTTGTTGGCTGAGTATGTTCTTGGATGAATTGTCTGTTCATATCCTTTACTCGTTTTTTAGCTGGGTTATCATTTTCTTGAGGTATCAAAGCTTTCCATAAAAAAAATGAGATTAGCCCCTTGTCTGAAAAGGCACGGATTCTCTTTTCACTCTTCTGGTAGCCTTTTGATGCACAAAGTGGTGAATGTTTAGGAGGTACCAGTTATTTGTCTTCTGCTGTGTGCTTTGTTATTTGATAGTATATTTGTGCATGGTGTATGAACCCCTAAATTTGTGCCTATATTTTCCATTCATTATTGTTAGCCTTCTAGATTTCCCACTTATGCCTTTGAGCCACCTTGAGTTCGTTTTTGTAAATCGAATGAGACACAGGTACTGTTTCACCCTTCTGCAAATGGAAACCCAATATTGCCAGTTTCACTTGTTAAAGAGACTTTTTCCCATTTAATGTAACTTAGTCTTTTGTAAAAGATCAATTTTCTGTAGGGAGATGGGTTTACTTCTGGGTTCACAATCTGTTCCTTTGGTTATGTATCTGTCAGTGTATCACCAATAGGCTGTTATGACTACTTTCACTGTATAGCAGGTTTTGAGATTGAGCAGTGAGGCTTCTTGCTTTGTTCTTCTTTAGCAGCACTTTGCTTGTCCATAGTCTCTTTTCTTTCCATATAAAGTAGTAATAAATCTCCCCATCTCTTTAAATAATGATGCTGGAATCTGGAATGCTATTGCTTTATATCTAAAGATTTTCTGGGTAGTATTAACATTTTTACTCTTTTAAGTCTTCCTACCCATGAACCTGGTACAGTCTTTCATTTATGTAGGTTTCCTATAGTACTGTTTTGTAGTATTCTTTATACAGTCTAATGTTTCTCTGGTTAGACTTATTCCTAGGCTTTTCATCTTTTGAGTGGCTATTCTTTTCTGTCCCTGATTTCCTTTTCAGAATTCTTTTTAAATTCAGAGGAATCCAATGGGTGCAGTCTTGGGGGGATGGAGTCAATTGTCTGCTATCTGCCTCAGTTGGAATGTTGTTCGCCCTATTTCAAAATGGCTGTGTTGTGTCAGTCCAGTTCATCACTCCATATGCCTTCTTGTTTGCCTCATTCATTTGGTCTCTTACCCTAAATGATACTGTATCTACTTCTTTATCCTTTCTTTTGAAGCTAGGGGTTCTAGTATTTTCATCTGTGCCTATTCCACTTGGTTTCTCAGGTCTTTGTTGGAGAATATCTGAATAGTTTATCTGCCTAGTCTGCCGTTTTAGATCACCCAGGAGTAGTTGTTTAATAAGGGATTTCTAGCTTTTTAATAAGGAATTTCTAACTTTTTAATAAGGGATTTCTAGAGATGCTCTCAAACATTTCAACTTACCAGAGAGTAATCTGGCTGCTTTGCTGATTTTATTATGAGGATTCCTGAAATGATAAACTGGATATAAAAACACACTTATAAATATTTATTGATAATGCCTGTAAACTTATATTCATTTTTAGAAACTCCCTCTCATAAGTAAAAAAGAAATTTTAGCAATACTAAAAATAGCAAAAATGTTAAAATCCTCATTTTCAGTTTAAGGCAGTAGGCAAAATTTAGATTGTAGGATATGCCAAAAGTGGCCTAAACAGTTCTGAAACAGGGACCAAATTTGTGGACATGTATGCATGCTTTCTAAACTTTTTTGATTATTATTTCTAAGATATTCTTAGAAATAATGAAATGATTCCACTGATTGTAATTACTGGTTATGTAACCAGAGATAGCTAAAGTGGCTTTTCATCAGTCTATTACCAATTATAAATGTCCAAAATATATTTAAGTGAGACTGTATCCATTTCCAGGGAAAAATTACTACTCATGTCTTTGCTTTTGTTTCTTAAGAAAGACGTTCTAGTTCTTCATACCAGACTATTCTCTTTCCCACAACTGCTAAGCTGTGCTATGTGGAATGTAGAATGTAAACTCCTAACACATTCCTTTTGTTTTAAGTATAGTTTTAGTTGCTTTAACAAAGAAATATATCGAAAAATAACATTCATGTTACACACCATATGTTGCTGTTGTTAGGTGTGATCTAGTCATTTCCAACCCAAGCGATGCTATGCACAACAGAATGGAACACTGCCCAGTCTTGTACTATCCTCACAATTGGAATGGGTACAAATATGGATCTCTTCCAGTCAAGCATACAACTGTCTTCTCAATTTCCTGGCATAGATGAATGAGTGCTTCAGGTGTTTCATCAGTTTGCTGAAACATTTTAATTGGTACTTCACCAATTCCTGCAGCTTTGAGTTTGGCTAACGTTCTTTTAGTGCTGTTTAAACTTCTTTCTTCAGCACCATTGGTTCTTGCTCATGTGCTACCTTCTGAAATGGTGGAATGTTGGCCAAACCTTTTTGGTAGAGTGACTCGGTGTTTTCTTTCCATCTTTTCTTGATGCTTCCTGCATCGTTCCGTATTTTGCCCGTGGAATCTTTCAAAATTGGAATGAAATTGTTTTCTTGAGTTCTTTTAATTTCAGATATGCTGACCATGTTCTTCCCTTTTGGTGTTCTCATTCTAGGTCCTGTACATTTCTTTATAATATCTGCCTTTGTCTTCTCGAGCTGCCCTAGGAAATTTTCTATTCAGTTCATTGACTTCATCCTTTCTTCCATCGCTTTAGCTGCTCTACCACTAAGAGGAAGTTTCAGTATCTTCTGATATTCACTTTGATATTTCCTTTTACTGTATTTTTAATGACTTCTTGTTTTCTTCATGAATGATGGTCTTGATGTTTTCCCACAGCTCATCGAGTCTTCTGTCAGTGTTCAATGAGTCAAATTTGTTCTTGAGATGTTCTTGAAATTCAGGTGGGATACACTGAAGGTCATATTTTACTCTTGTGGATTTGTTTTAATTTCCTGCATCTTTATCCTGAATTTTCCTATGAGCAATCGATGGTCTGTTCCACAGCTGGATAGTGGTCTGGTTTTAGCTTCTGATATTGAGCTTCTACATTGTGGCTTCCCATAGATAGAGTCAGTCTTACTTTTGTGCATTCTATCTGGGGAAGTCCATGTATAGTAGCCTCCTTGTGCGTTGTTGAAAAAAAGGTACTTGCTGTGAACACGTTGTTGTTTTTCAAAATTCTATCGCATGATCTCCAGCTTCATTTCAATCACCAAGTCCATATATTCCTACTACTGTTTCTTCCTCTTTGTTTCCAACTTTTTCATTCTAATCATCAATAACCATCCATGAATCTTGAGTGCATGTTTGATCAATTTGGGACTGAAGTTGTTGGTATAATCCTTCAACTTCTTCATCACTAGCTTCGTGGTTGGTGCATAAAGTTGAAAAATAGTTGTATTGATTAAATTTCCTTGAAGAAGATAGATATAATCTGATCACAGATAACATTGTACTTCATGATGGATTTTGCATTGTCTTTTTTGACAATGAATGCCAAGCCATTCCTATTAATGTGCTATTGCCACCATAGTAAGTCATAGGATTTTCTAATTCAAAATGGCTAATACTGGTCCATATCAGCTCAAAAATGCCCAAGATATTGATCTTCATGCGTCCTGTTTCATTTCTGACCACTTCCAATTTTCCTAGCTTTGGCACATTCCAAGTTCCAATCATTAGAAGATTTTGGCAGCTGTTTCTCTTTACCATGAGCCATATCCCATTAGCAAATGAAGATTCTGAAGGCTCCACTACTCTCACAAGCATTACCCGACTCACCTCATTAACTCCCCTCCAAGAAATCATCTCTTTAATCACATTTCCAGTGCCTTTGGACCTGCGGGGCCCATGGATGGGCAGTAGCTTCAACAGTGAGTGTTCTGTTCCTTTGTTTAGGCATTCAGTATTTGAAGATACTTTAAAGTCATGCATGAGGTTTTCAGAGGCTTCTTCTTCAGAAGTGGGGAGCCAATCCCTTCTTTGTTATCTCTTATTAGTCGGAAGCTCCAGAGAAACCTGTTCCTTTTGGGTGACCCTGCTGGCATTTGAAATGCCAGTGACATAGCTTCCAGCATCACAGCAGCACACAAGCTTAACAAGTGACAGACAAGTGGTGGATAAAACATGCTTTGGTGAATTTGGACACTTCAGCTTTTGTAGGAAGGTCAAATCTGAAACTTAAAAATTCCATAAGTTTATCTAAAACATGCACACTCAGTAGCATGTAACAAAAGCTGAGATTTCTAAAGAACATTGTGAGGTTAAAAACTAGCTCAGAATAAAGCATGGGATGATCTTGTGAATTGTAAATGATGGTACTCTCTAAATATCCAAGGCACCTGTTGTATAGATTTTTTTTTCAAAATTATGACTTAATGAGAAGTTTTATAATTGATATTAAAATTTGAGATAATTTATTCTAGGCACTAAACATAGTGGTTTAATGGCATAGAAGATTAAGCACTGAGGAACATAGATCATTTATCTTGATTTTGATCTGAACATTCACTATTTTTCTTCTATTATTTTCCAAGTGAATATATTGACACTTGTGAGTCCGTGTTTCAAAGCAGGGTACCTGCCAGAGGCTACTGTTTCCTGTATGGCCTTCAAACATGTTGCCCACCTTGTCTTGGGCTGAATAAATGGTTAGGTGATCTCCTTCCTTCTTGATACTGCCAATAAATCTCTTTTCCTACTTTTGAGAATCATACATCATATTATTCTATCATCTATTATCACTCATGAAGGAAATGATCTACTGAATATTGAACCCTTTGTTGATTCTCAATTTTTAGATAGTTTCAATTCTCATTCCTCTCTCTTCAATACCACTTAATTTTTGGTGATTTCAATGTATATATATGTAGTTGCCTAAGTTAAGTTAAATAAAGCTGTTTAAAACAAACAACAAACAAATAACCAGCAGCCGCTCTCTGGAGAAAGATGAGGCTTTCTATTTATACAAAGGATTACACACTTGGCAACAGGGACACTTCTACCCTGTCCTGTAGGCTCACTCAATGCGGTGAGTTTAAGTTTATTTTGATTTTACAGCTGCTTAGAAATCACAGAAGAATTCAGATAATGACAAGTTTTAAGGCGTTTACATGTGGACTGAGTCAAGACGTTAAAGTAATGAACCTTAATTTGAGAATTAAATATATTAATAGCTATCACAATTAAAATTCTCTTTCACATATCTAGGAATAATCCAACCTATTGTTGTCATGATGTATTCACTTTTGTAACCATAGCTGTTGGACTTAATACTCACTGGTTTTTGTTTAAAAGGAATCTGATTTCTGACTAAATTATTAACATGAGATTTAGTATGTAATTGTCCTAAAACTTTGATTAGAATCTATCTCCAACCTTCAACTATATGGCTTATCAATTTTTGAATGATTGATTTAATATAAATTATATTCTACTCACAATAACTCCCCATAAAGTACTTCCTGTTTTGTAAGTTATAGGCTCATATGTTCCAAAGACTCCATGAACTTGTGCCGAATACAAAAAAAATACAAAATACCACATTAAAGCATGAAAGATGCCGATCATTATCTGGATAACCTGTGAGAAGAGAATGTCATTATAACTTAAACCATGTGGCTTATAACAGGATTTCAATGAGTGTTAATCATAAGAAACAGTTGTAAAAAATTAAAGTAAAATAATGCAATGAACCTTTTTATTCCCTAGATTTGTTAGCCCAGAAAGGTGGTCCTAACCAGCAAGGCCAGCAACAGACTGTTCACTGGTAGTAGCAATGATTAATTATCACGTAATAATGCTGATGTTACTGCTGGCTATCTTCTCTGCCCATCAAGTACTGACATGATAAAAGAATACTCAGGTTTCTCGAGAGAAAATATGGCTGCTAATTTAGTTGGAAGTCATACACCGTACACTTTATTGTACTTTTGTAATCTTAAACATGAAATACTTTGAGGGTGGGGGCACAGTCCAATAAGAGAAGCAATGGATTTCCAAGGTGGACTTGCTTGTATAAAGTCTTCACATTGAATAAGGGATGGACTAGGGTTGGGGATAATTATTACTCAGCTTCAGTCTATAAGAAGATTATAGTATCAGTAGATATGTTCTAGGAAATTTGCTTTAGAATTTATATATGAAATTTTATTTTTAATGACTAAAAATTTGAGAGGGGATGTTATTTTCCTTTTCATAAAAACTTTAGTGGAAACTATTGAATAGTTTAACTTAAAAGTTCCAGTTCTTTGTATACTATCTATGAAATGCATAAGTATAATTGACTGATTTTAAACATATGCTTTAGAGAAGAATTTTTTTTCTTTTTAAAATCATTTTATCGGGGGCTCATACAACTCATCACAATCCATGTATACATCCATTGTGCCAAGCACATTTGTACATTGTTGCCATCATCATTCTCAAAGCATTTTCTTTCTATTTGAGCCCTTGGTATCAGCTTCTTATTTTTCCCCTCCTTCCCTTCTCCCCTCGCTCGAACCCTTGATAATTTATAAATTATTATTCCTTTGTCATGTCTTACACTGCCCGATGTCTTCCTTCACCCACTTTTGTGTTGTCCATCCCCCTAGGAGGGGGTTATATGTAGATCCTTGTAAGTGATTCCTCCTTTCTACCTCACCTTCCTCTTACACGCCTGGTATTGCTATTCTCATTATTGGTCCTGAGCGGTTTATCTGTACGGGATTCCCTGTGTTTCCAGTTCCCATCTGTACAAGTGTACATCCTCTGGTCTAGCCGGATTTGTAAGGTAGAACTGGGATCATGATAGTGGGGCAGGGAGCATTAAAGAACTATTAAAGAAAGTTGTACGTTTCATTGTTGCTATACTGCATCCTGACTGGCTCATTTCCTCTCCTTCTGTAAAGGGATGTCCAGTTGCCTACAGATGGGCTTTGGGGTTCCACTACACACACACCCCTTATTCACAATGATATGATTTTTTGTACCTTGATGTCTGATACCTGATCCCAACGACACCTCATGATAACACAGGCTGGTGTGCTTCTTC